TTTCCTTCCCTGCCTCCCTGTGCTTCCCGCGCCCCATCTCTGACTCTGCAGGACTGGGGTGTGTGCACAGGCACGTGGAGCCCCACGTCTGGTGGAGAAGGGGCTCCAGCTGGGTCCCAGCCTCCCTGTCAACACGGCGTGGGGCTTTGCCTCTCCGAGCCTCCATGTCTTCTCCCGTGTGCAGCACGTCAGCGAGGCTCCCTTCAAGGGCTTGCTGGGAGGAACCTGGCGGGTGGCAGCACCTTGGGGGACCAGTGGTGGGGTTGGAGAGTGTGAGCACAGGGTGATCATTCTCATGTGCAGATATCTTGTCCTGGACTGAGTCCCCTGGGGGACAGAGGGACGCGTCCTCCGAGCTTGAGAGACGTAACTGGCCATGTGACCTCGGGCAGAGGCACCGCCCTCTGGCCCTGAGAGGCGGCTGGGCCAGAGCGTTCTAGTGAAATCCGCTCTTGCCTGCTGTGGGGGGTGGGCAGGCAGATTGCAGGGGGAAGGGATGGAGGAAGGGCCCGGCCGGCTGGCAGTGCTTTGAACCGGGGAAGCAGCAGACCTGGGGTTCCCTCCCCCAGGTGCCCCCAACCCCGAGGCTTCCTGCCCAGCCCCAGGCAGGTCCGGGGTGTCCCTCTTCCGCATGCCGGGGACCCCGGTTATGCTGGGCATTGAGCCCCCCTCCCAGGCATGTGCTTGGCTGCGGTGTGGGGTCAGCCCCGAGGGTTTTCCTGGGGATCCCCAGCGCCTGGCCCGGCCCAGCCGCATCTGCGCTCCTGGCAGCCTCCCCTCCCTGTGCCGTCCCCTCCGCCCCACACTCAGGGCTGGGAGGATAACGAGGCCCTGTCTTCGCAGACGCCTCCTGCCCGAGGCTTCCTGGCGCCAGCGGGACGTAAGTCAAACAGGACTACTGCAAGGTGATTGAGCTGGCAAAATGAATCCCCGGGCTCCCCCGCCCCCTCCGCCGTCTATAAATAAAACCATAATATTTATAAGACGCTGCTCAGAGCTGTGGGCCTTCACGGCTTCCAAGTGCTTCACAAAGCACTCTAATTAATTCTTGCCGCCCCCGTGCAGGAGGCAGGTGCCGGGAACCCCCGCCCTCTCCCCGTTCCTGGCGCTGCCTCCATGCATGGGGCCACCTCGTCCGGGACTCCCCGTGCCCCGGGCTGTCTGTGGAGTGGGAGGAAGTCCCCGTAGCTGGGCCGTGTCGTGGGGAGCGTGGGAGCGGGAGGCATGTGACAGCTGGGGACATCCCGAGGGCACCTCCCTGTGGCTCCAGCCTGAAGGCCAGCGTGTCGTTCTCATTCTACAGCTGAGGAAACTGGGGCACAGAGAGGCCAGGGTCTCACCCAGAGCCACACAGCTGTTGGGCAGAGCAGGGTCTGACTCTGGAGCCTGGAGCTTTCAGCTGTCCGCTCTCCTGGGGGCCCAGCCTCACCCCTCCGGCACTGTCTCCCCACGTGGTGAGATGCACCCCTTAGCTGTGTCCTAGCTCCTGAGGGTTTAGGATTCTGTCCAGGGGCAGACACCAGGGACCCCATCCTCTAAGGTCTCAGGGTCACCCTGGATGCCAGCCCAGACCAGCCTCCCACAGGGTGGGCTCTGCTGGCCTGTGACCCCGTCCCCTGTGACAGAGGGTGCTGTGAGGAGGTGCCTGCTCTAGCCCAGCACCCCATGTGGGGAGCGGCCAGAGTCAGGCCAGCCAGCCTGAGCTCCCCGCCCAGCCCCACCGGCTGTCAGATTTTCCAGAAGCACCAGGCTTGCAAAAACTCCAGGCCTCCTGCCTGGCTCTTTGGCCCGGCTGGTGCAACCTGAGGTGCTGGCCGGGCCGTGTCTGAGTCTCCCCCACGGATGGGAAGCCCCTCACCTGAGTCAGTGTTTGGGTCCTGGGTTGGTGCAGCCCTGGCAGGGGGTGGCTGCAGATGGCCACTTGTCGACGCAGGAAGGGCTCAGGGAGCCCCGCAGTCTGGAGGGGGGCAGAGACGGACCCAGCATTCTCTGAATGGGTGTCAGCAGGCCGGCAGGAAGCCCTTGGCATGGCGTGGTGGAGAGGGACCTACGTGCATTGTTACAGAACCACTCAGGCCTGCAGGATCCCCAGGCAGCAGCAGCGGGGGGCCCTCCCTCTCCCTCCCCCCCCCCCCCGCCGTGGAAGGGAAAGGGGG